TTTCTCAACCAATCCACAGATTTTCCCGGTCTTCATGGATTAAGACGTGAAATTTGGTACAAATTCAAACAGGGCAGCTGTCGCATTTCATCAGAAAAGTAGCTGCTGAAAAGCTGGTTACACTTTTACATGAAGGCCAGAATTTTCAGTTATTTTAAATTTATAATTTTTTTTTGAATTTTCGTAGAGCCAGTCTGCTCTCGCTTCCTTTTCCGTTCCCTCTTCGTCCGTCTGGTTTCTCCTTCCCAAAAAAGGCCATAATTTTTTGAAGCCACATGATTCAGTCACGAATACCAGGAACGCCTGGGCTACTAGTGTGAGTATTCCATGGTAGTATCGATCCAGATGTTGCTTGGATGCTACCACACCACAGAGCGGGTACAGCTGGCCAGGGCCTTCGGTCTCGAATTGCATTTTCTAACACTGGCAAATATTTTTTATGAAAATGTTGTATACAAAATTATATTGTATTTTTGATTACTAAAAATTTAATGTTATAGTACATTCGCGCAAATAAAATCCCCGGATTCTTTTACAATTAATCATTTTCTTTCTCATAAATTTCCAGATATCGATGGGCTTTCCTGGAAATCAGCTTTGCAGCTACACTAAATCCTTTTCCCTTAACATTCCACTTTTTGTGCAGCTCAACTGGAATGTCTAATATTTACTTTGAGATAAAACTGATTAGTCCATGGTGTGGTTCCCCAACTATGCAGCAGTCAACTTTCCCAATTGCTGTATCGCCTTGTGGGTAGTCTGCTGGTGATCCTAACGTTTTTAAGTTTTTTGGAAATATGTACTGAACAGTGTGAAATTCGTGCCATTTCTATAGATACAACACATTATAAGCAACTGCACTACATTCTTTTCTTCAAGACTTGCGCTTTGGCTTTGATTCAGTGATTGTATCCATACTTACTTTATGGCACATGTATCACAACTGCAATTCTCATAGCTCTGTTCTCCAACTATCCGGATTCTCTGATCGGTGCTGCATCGTCTGATGGTTAGTCTTTTGGCAATTTTGACAAATTTCTCTTGATTTCCTGAGACATTTCGCATAGAAATGTGTTAAAAATCCGAAAATGCGATTTTTGCAGGCACGTTAAGTCTCAGTCAGGAGCATGTACGCGCAAAATTAATGGCACATAAACTAAAGACACACCACTGGTTTATAAAAGTAATTGAAATTCTATGGAAAAAAATGCAAATGTCTGATTGTTATTGATAAATAGCGACGGAATCAGATTTGTTCCTTAGTGATTGTTGCTAGTTTATCCTTGAACGGTCGGTTGGTCGGATCGTTGGACGTTGGTGCTTGCCGTCTTTTTGCCGCCATATCCTCAAATGTTCAACTTGCAAGTGGTCCATTGCAAAGGTTAATTTTACAGGTCACTCTTTTCACTACCAGGTCGCTTTTGAGGTTGGAAACAGTTTATCAACAACGATGCGCCTTTGATCTTGAAAGTGGCGCTACTTCATATGTGTCTAGAAATCTAGAAGAGAAGCTAATTCGTCGCATGGTTCTTAGCTTTACAATATGGATCTTCAGCTATGCGGCTGACAGCTTTATCACTGACGAATAGGATTTTAGGTGATTTTTGCGTAATTTTCCTTCCCTGTCCTAAGGGCAATATAATAATTTTATGAATTTCCTATATAATAAACTTTTTCCATCTACTACTTTGACAAATTCTTCATTGCTCCTATTAGCTATTATCTCGAAAATCCTTTTTCGACCAGTGCTGCATCGCTTTGTGATCAGCTTGCTAACAGTTCTAATGTTTCTTAAGATAGCCTCTCCTCCCTCTCTCCCCCAATAGAAAAGCATTTGGCTAGCTGTTTCGAGAATGTAAAAATATTAGTGATAATTTGTGAAATATAAAAAATATATTAAAAAATAATCAGATGAACAGGAATGTTGAGCACACTAGCAGCTTGTGGTCTTGGACGTTTGCTACCGTTAGACTACGATAAAAAAAGGCTACGTGACATCAATTAGGGAAAAAAAGCGCGCCATTTAATTGTACCAAACAAATACCACACTATTTGTCCTAGGAAACTCTTGGCCTCTCTTGGCCTCTCAGCTTATCCACCACGTGTGCACGTCTTCGCGCTTATCATCCGTTCCTCACATCCAGAACTTCCAGGATGCACGTATACTGTTTTACCTTTTTCCCTCAGATACTCGGCGGATAGCGTACTTTGAACTCGTTGTCGCTAGCTTTTCTCCCTCCCCTACTAACCATTTGTTCTTGTACACGTGTAGTTTTGCGCGTGTACATGTTTGTGTGTGTGTATATGCGTATTTGTGTCTGTGCGTGTGTGTGTGTTTGTGTCTATGTATATCTGTGCATGTGTGTACGTGTGTCATGCGTGTACGGGTACGTGTGTCTGCCTTTCTGTCTGTGTGCACGCGTGCATGTGCTGAAACGTGTACGTAAAATATGCAAAATTTGCATATTTCTCTTTTGAAAAGCACTATGTAAAAACATTATAAGTACTGGAATGGGCATGAGACCCGGGTCGTGCACAGTTTCGGTGTGGTAATTTTCAATTTTTACGCAAAGTTTACGTGGGGGAGTGTATTCGGGCCAGGTGAGTTTGTGTTACATGAGTTTTTGGCTGAGCCCGGCTAATTTGGATTAAACCTGACATTTAGACTAGTGGATATAGGTGCGAGGGCGCAAATGCTGCCCTGAATTTGTTATCCAGTCTGACAATTTGGATATCTGGTTCTTGATT